TTGTCAATCATTTTTCAGTGATGTTCCTTTTTGCAAAACAAATTGTGAACAAGGAGAGCAACTGCTTCCTTTCTCACTACATGTTTACCTTCTGTTAGTACTGTTCTAACTAACCCTAACATAACTGTGAGCCTTCTTCTTGAGGCCAAGAAAAGATGCTGCTTTTCTACCCACTGGACTAGGGCATTAAACTGGATGGAGTGTTGACTTGTGTCAGTCTATAGGAGAAGACTGCAGTTTGGTTGGCATGCTAAGATAAGAGTCCTTTTCTATTGGTTATTGTGGGAGAAATAGATTAGTCCTGTATGGGGAGGGGGAGAGAGAGGATTGGAATCCAGCCTGGAGAAAAGAGAATGGGATCTGCATAACAATTCTTTGTATTTTGGTATTTAAAATGACACCAACTGACTAAGTCTTTCACATGAAGAATCACTAGTAGATTTACAAGGTTGTTGGAGCAAATTCTCTTCAGTTCCTCTATCTTTAAAATTCCATCATCTCAAATATTACTTGTATGGTTCAGTTTTAGGATGGCTTCAAAATGGCATAGGTGTTTCTTTGTTTAGTTTGTTTTTCCTGTCATAGCTAAGTTGTTGGATTGTTGATAGTTTATTGAACATAACCTTTTCCTTTCTGGACTTTCTTCTCATAAAGTCATACAGAAGCTACAGTACTAGATATCCCACTAATGTCTGCATTTATTCTGCCCTATGGTTAGTTAATGTTCTTCACTTGTCTGAGCAGACTTTCAGTACAGCCACAACTATCTTGCTTTTGGCTGAGTTTTTGTTTATTGCCTTCTTGGCTGGACAGTTTTTCAGTTTTGCGTTCTCTCCCAAGGATAATTTTCTGTAGAAAAATTTTCATGTGTGCTTCTGCAGTAGGGCAGCTTCCATTGAAGACAGGACTCCTTTCCTAACAAAACCTAGGCTGAAGGGAAGTAACTAAGTGGTTGAAAATACATGAGCTCAATCTAACCTATATTAGTTTTAACGTTTCAGCAAAAATGTAATGTTGGTAAAATAAATTAGTTTTTTGAGACTGATAGCAGTGAATGAGTTGCTGGATTAAAAGGAGTTGGAGTTGTGTATTGGTATTGCAAGAATTAACCTTTGAAGGTCTGGGCTGTGGAGTTCTGCTTGCTCTCATTTTGTATGGTGGCTTCATTTTTGGTTTTTTTGGGTTTTGAGGTTGGAAGTTGGATTGCCATAGAAGTAAATGACCACTTGATGTGGTAAGGTAAAAGCCAGGGTCACGTGAAACAATATTCTGTGGAGGAAAGACTGTTGCAGTTCCTTGCAGACCTGTATTATATCCATATTTCAAAGCTTTTCAGTGGTGCTTTCAGTGTGGAATGTTGTTTTGTTAGGTAGGAGAAGACAACTCAGTATTTCAGTGCTTGGACTTTTGAGCTTTTTGGGAAGGAACTTTCCAAAATGGTGTACACTTTTAGCAGTAACAGATTTTCATTTTCTTGATGTGAAGGACACTTATGTTGCCATTAAAATCTTTGGGAACTGTGGTATGTTTTATTTTGCAGTACGTGAGCAGTACACTGAAGAAATTTCATGCTTTCAGCCTGTGTCAAGTTTTTACAGTACTCTCAGATGCTTTGGGAGGCTATGTTATTGTGTTTTCTTTTCATTTTCCCCCAGATCTCATTATGTTGTCTGCCTATAATCTTTTATTTGGCACATGGCTGTGTTGCAGAAGCATTTCAAAGCTATTACCTCTACAGCCTCCCTTCTGGGAAACAAATATGTCCTTATTTACATACTAGGAAATCTTAGCTCTGCAGATGTCAAAGGAAGAGCCATATTGAGAGCGTGGTGCTGGAAACACCAAGGCTGTGGGTTCAATCCCTGTATGGGCCTTTCACTTCAGAGTTGGACTTGATGATCCTTGTGGGTCCCTTTCAGCTCAGAACATTCTGTGATACTCTCCTTGATGGATACAGTTTAATGATGTAATTATAAGAAAATAATTTGAAGAACTTTAATGTATTTCCCCACATTAAAAACAAAGAAAATAAAACAAGCAGACAACCCCAAAACAAAATTTGCTCTCCCCGAAAGAACAAACCTAAAATTAAAAAACTAACCCAGTATAACTGAATTGTACACACATGCACACAGTTTTAAATGGACAAATGTTTAACTGCAATTACATTATACATTTTGGCTCTAAATCGTGTCTCCACTTGGGAAGGAGAGCTTGTGCCACTAAGCGTTTAGAAAAACCTGGAGACTATTTTACTGAAAGGGGTTATGTGTGAGCATGATGCTCAGGAAACTTGGCTTCTCTATTCCAGAATACTTCTACCAAAATTGCATCAAGCAAGGGGTCTGCTTGTGAAATGACAGCATTTCTCAGGCATAGTGACAGTTTTACATGTCTAAACTAATGGGAATTTAAGAAATCGAGTAGGTTTGAGCACCCTGTCCTGGGTAGTTTCAGAGGACTACAGTTGATGTTGTCAGCCCTGGTAAATAGTTTCTTCCTGTACTTCTGTCCTTGCCCAACACCATGGGGAAATACTTGATGACTCTTACAAAAGGGCTCAATTCAAATTGTTTTTTTCTTTAGAGATATAGAAGAGTTTAATAGTTTTCCACTAGTCACTACTCAAATATTATTCCTAATGTAGGGGTTTTATTATTAATATGCTGTAATATTGATAATTTTAACTTGCTTGTATTGTGAAAATAACCTTTTTTAGAAGGGGAGCCTATGTGGTGGCAGCAGCATCAACCAACTGCACTGATGATGTCCTATTTCTTCATGTTCTCCATGTCCCCAGGAATAGGAAGAATTGACCATTTTACAATTGCTGAGATAAAATAAACCAACCTAAATTGGAGAGATAGATTATATTGACAACACCGGCCTCCAGAACATGTTTGATTGCAGTCCCCTGTGGCTACATCAGCTTATCGACCTGTAGGCTCTCTGTCCATTTTATGTCAGTCAGAAAGCAGGGCAGTTTATTGGAGACTGAGGTCCAAAGTTCAGACTCTTCTCTATCACTGTCAGATGGGATTATTATTTTAAGGGAAAAAAATCTTTGAATGGTTACTGACTTATTTCTTGTAAAGCTATCCGTTCCTCTGCATGAGTCACAGCCTGTTTGAACTGTAAGGATTGTGCTTCTCAGCTATTCAAAGCATCATAGCTCCTTTTTAAATTTGTCTTGGGGACCTCAGCAATGCAAATGCATATTTGAATAATGTTTTAATTGTTGTATGTTCTTTCTGGTTTTTGATTGGTAAATGAAAACTTAAACCTATTCAACTCAGTTTCAGATTTTCAAAAATCATGTCCTGCTTGGCCACGAGGAGTAAATTTGCTGGTGTTTGCCAGCAAATGGCAAGCACAGCTTTTTGCTATCAAATGGTTTAGCAATTGTAGCTCAGGCCAATATGATGGCCTGGAAACAAAATTCATGATAAGAAGAGGCTATCAATTTATAATAGGGTCCACTATTATGTTTTATGATTATAGATTAAGTAAGTAAAACACTTCTTTTTCCTAGAGTAGATAAGCTGAGTTGTCTGGCATGCAGTTTTCACAGTTTGTGCTGTAGCTAAAGGGGAAAGTGTGTGTGTGTTTGTGTGTGTATTTACAGGCTACAGAAGGAACCCTTTTGGAATATAGGTGATATAATTTACATGCTGAACAGAATTTTTGAATGAAGTTTGGTTTTTAATTACCTTTCTGTCACATAAACTACCAGGTATCAGAGAAGACAGGGTTGTGGACTTCCAAGACCTAGGCAACAAAGTCAAATATTACAGAAGTCTTTGGACATTAATAGTTTGAAGTACTTTTGCACCTTTTTCTACTAATCTGTAGTTCAGATGAAATCTACAACTTTTATTTAAAAAAAAACTCAAATCAGACACATTAATTTTCAAATATGTTCTTACCTCCTACTCCCTCTGTCTTCCTCCATTCCCTCTCCCCCAACATGCACGTCAGCAATTAGAACATTTTAGGTGACTTCTCAGAATTTAAAAGGTAAAATCAGCATGTCTTGGTTGGCATTATAACATATTTGAATGTCATTGGTACTAGTATTGGACTTTTTCCTTGCACGCTATTGTGCTGCCTCGCATTGTTCCTGGTAATTGCTGGGATGCGTAGGAAAATGTGGAGGCATGCAGCTGTCTTTGTGCAGCTGACAAATAGCTTTGAAAAATATCATTGTTCTTACAGGTAAGTGAGAGAAAGACAACTCATTCAGTCTTAATGGAACTCTGGATATGTTTCAGGTAGGGAAGAAGTGAAATCCAGTGGGTGCTCTTTTCCACCCTGCTGACTAATGCCTGGTGCAGGACTGTGCTGAGCTGGGATCTTCCTGGGAACAAAGGGGGAGTGAAGACTCTTAAAGGCAGTTTTGTGCTGCCTGCACAAAATGGTGAACAAAGGCTTGCTAAAGACAGTACCCTCTTATTGATGGTAGATTTCCCTGCTGGGTTACATTGCTTCTTGAATTATTTCTTAACTTTCTACTAAATAAAGATGGACAACTTTGTTTAAATGCAGAAAACTTATATGTGTGAGATTAGTATGAGGATGCGGAACTAGTGCAGAGGGAAAATGCATTTTTCAAATGCTGCTATTTTATTTTTTTTCTCAGATCAGAACTTGGGAGTGCCACATGTGGGATACTTTTATAATGCTATATGAAAAAATTAAACAGATTTTATAAATAAGCTTCTGTTAATATATATCCATGTAATATTGTATATGCATTTGGAAGATATGAATGTAATACATTATGACTAGAATTTGCTGTCAAGATGTTGCCATATTTTAGTGGCTGAAAAATGAAGAAAAGTCATTATGATTTCCCTTATTTTTAAGAGGGTTTTCCCTGTATGACATTCTCATTTTCCCCTAGCCTTTTTCCTACTTATTTTAGAAAAATCCAAAGGAAAAAAAGTGTAAGAATTATATGACAAAGTTTATGAGGATAATGTTTTATTGTTTTGTTGCAGAAGGACTCCATGAAAGATGACAGAAGAAGTTATTGTTATTGCAAAGTGGGATTACACTGCACAGCAGGACCAAGAACTTGACATCAAGAAAAATGAGCGTCTTTGGCTATTAGATGATTCTAAGACATGGTGGAGGGTAAGAAACGCGGCCAACAAAACGGGATATGTGCCATCAAATTATGTGGAGCGAAAAAACAGCTTGAAGAAAGGTTCTCTGGTTAAAAATCTAAAAGACACACTGGGTAAGTCCTTTTGTATTTTGGAATAAATTTAGTAGACTTGATGAGTTTCAGGTTGGGAATGTAATGCGGATATAAATTTTTTTTAACTAATAAATGTGTGTTTGGTCTTTATGCTTAGTTTGAGGTGACATGATGGGTAGATGATTGGGGAGGTAAGGAGGGAGGGAGAGACAGAGAGAGTGCATGTGGGTGGAGAATCACGTGTAAAAATCTGCAATATGTTTCCTTCCATCACATCCAGAAGAAAAAGATGTTACTTTTGTTCCAGTTTTCAAAGGATCTGTATTTTCAGTGGCTGAAGAACTGAGTTTCATAGACAAATCAACTGCTGAATCCTCTCCTTTCACACTAACTCCTCTCACTTCAAAGATGAAGGATGTAAACTGGATTGTTCAGCATAGGTATCATAGCCAAAGCTAAATCACGCTATGAATGGGATTTTACAGCTTGCCTATATACAGTTAAGTTTCTGTGGTCTGAGATGTTCTGTCAACTTCCAAGTCCTTAAATAGGTATTCTACTTTCAACTTGCACATCAAGTCTTCACAACAGTATCTCATAAACATAAAATAATCTAGCTTTGAAAAATTTTGTGTGTATTTTAAAGAAATCTTGTATTTGAAAGTCAAGTTAAATGGTTTTTTTTTCTCTTTGATTTTTTAGACTGATTAAAAAGGGCTTTGCATAGAAAAGGTTAGAAAAGGTTATAAACACAGTGATAAATTGTTGTTTTATGCCAGGAAGACCTACTGGTGGAATTTCAGGATGTTATGAATAAAACAGAAACAGGCACATTAAAAGTGTTTTGAGGGGCTTTCTTTTACTTTTGGTTTTTTGCCTGTGTTTTATGAAGTCTTATATAGAGAAAATTTATTCTGTTGCAGACTGCTGTACAAAATGACTCTTCAATAGAAAAATTAGGATTCAGGGATTGGGTTTACTTGAAAGTTAAAAGGTTCACTTAAAAATAACATGGCAATAGCTTATGCAGGATAATCCTTTGCCAGTGTTGCTTCTAACAGGCTTTGTTTCTTAGGCATTCCTTCATTACCATGTCTTCCACTGCTGAGTTGCCATAAAGCACATGGAAATTGGGGACTAGAGGATGGGTGGCAGGCAAACAAGGTTATCATAAAATTTACCATGGTAATATTTAGAACCACAGTCCTTTCTACAGATACTCTTAGAACATACTGATTGTAGTGCCAGGAAATGTGATTATGCCTTTTCAAAGATTAAAGTCCCAGTTGTGACATTAAGCTCCTTTTATATAGATTTATGTTGTTTAAAACATAAATATAATGTATGTATTTTGTCTGAAAGGTACCTTAGGAAAGGATTGCAGTCCTTTGTAATAATATTTCAAGTGTTCATGTAAAATGGGGGCAATATTTGCTTGATGCAAACACATTTTTATTTATGTCCAACAGAAATCTCTTTAAGTGAAGAAATAGAGGTGTGTCCTAGCCTATGTGTGTGTTTATTTTCAGTCTTAGCAAAACTGCATGGTGCAGGGTGCTTCCCCTCATTCTAGAGGTGAGTGATGAAAAGCTGTGAGAAAAAAGCTTGGTGGTTTCATGGCTGAACCATCCCTAGGTGTCACACCTCCCAAGCCTCAGCCCTTTGTGCACACCTGCATGGGTTTTTAAGTTCTGAAGTACTGTTATGACAAGTAACAGTGCTTCAGAACAGACAGACAACATTCCTTGATCCCTTTCTAATGGTTTTCTCTGAGTGTTTGTTCAGCTGAGGCAGAAAGTGCTTTATGATGGGGTCTGGTCTTTGTGTCCTGTGACCGCACTTACCTGGTGAGCATCCAGAGTGTGAAGCACCTCTCATTCTCTTTTAAGTTCATATACCCTGTGACAGTGAGAAACTGTCTAAGCCATACCTTACTCACAAATGGATCCAGAATATTCCTAATATCTATCCAAAGGAGCTGGTGCTTAAGAGTATTCTTTTTTAAAAGTTTAGCTGCTGTGAACTCCTTACCATAATGAAACATGTATGTGCTGTGTACCGTGTATCTGTACAACGTCTTTTACCTTTCCTGAATCAGTGTCCTCAACTAAACTATAGTATTTAAGCCTTTCCTGTCTTGCTGTACAGTAATTTCCCATTCAGAACAAGCAGAGCATGTGTCCTTCCTTAGAGGATCCATTGTTTTGAGAGGCCATCAAAAATGCACTCCTCCTTTTTAAACAAAGGCTTGCAAATTGCAAGACTAACGCTTCCTCTAGTGAAACAGCTTTTGAAAGTTTTTGCTTCACCCAGTGAAGCAAGTTCTTAAGTTCTCTTTATACAAATATGTCTAATGTATCACCATGTCTGCCTCTCCAAGGATCACAAGAAAATTCTCATTAAAATACCTCCTAACCCACCTACTCAGTTGGGAATGGTGGTCATGAGTATCAGTCCTTAAACCAAATCTGTTTCCAACTTTGATCTTGAAGGTACTGCCAAAATATCAGGTACTGAACTTAAAGAAAAACCCCAACAAAATTAGCTTAATAGTCTGTCAATAATTAATCATGAATCTTGTGAAACCTCAGGAGAGAAACAGCAGACTCATAGCTGCTTCCTGTGACGTACCTACACCCCCCCCCTTTTCATACTTGTGTCACTCAAGCAAATGGTTGTTCCCATGGAGATGCACTTTCCCCTGCCTCTTTCTTAATAGATTACATTTCCTTGTGTTAAAAAGAATTCATCTGAAAGCATCGTTATCATGCAAATGATGTCATCGTGTGTTGTGTATGTGATTACCTGTAGCTATCTGCCACTCTTGTGCTTATCCACCGTAACTACTGGTGCTTGAATTATATTTTTATATTCAGTAAATATGAAAGGTGCCAGCTATAGCTCAAATTGTGGCAGACCCTGTAGGAGCTATAACTATTTAATTAATAGTTCCCCTCATGTGCTGTTGAAGATGCATCATCTGAATAGTTGTTCATCTTTGGCAGTCTGTTTTCTAATGAAACTTTATGCCAGCAGTTATGTTGGTGTCTTGTACACAAAAGCTTATAATCTCATCAGAGAATTAAGTCATGCCTATTTGATGCTAAAAACTAATTTTTCCTGAACTGTTGACTGTCATTGATTATATCTCAACCCTTGAATATTTTTATTAATAGAGTCCTATCAGCTTTACAGTTTTTTGGCTCAGGGTTGATGGAAGGTTAATGGACATATGGTTACCTAGAATAGGCAGCTTGATGTTTTAAAATATCAGCCCATTCTTAGCAAGGTCTTAAGGCTTTCTTGAACTTCCATTTTATTTTGGCATTTAAAAAAAAATTAATTAAAATGTGTTTGGAGAAGCTCTCCTAAATGTGTTGGATGCTTATTAAAACACCGATTAGTGCTTGTTTAGCATATGCTCTTTAAATCAGTTCCTTGTGGACTGAAAAACAGTTCACCCAAAATCTCAAATGACCCCAGTACTTTCTGAAGAGATACTTTAGAATCATCATATGCCTTTTCACAAAGCAAAGCCTTTTCTACACCATTCACTTTGCCTTTCTAAGGGCTTGCTCTATTCTGTTGTATCTTCTTTTAGTCCTGACATCAGAGAATTTTCTGTGACTTTTAACTTTCCTTAAATTACTTGGAGAAACTTTGAGTCTTGTAATTCTTTGATTGATGGATGTCTGGTTTTGTCATTTTTCTGTTTGATATACACTACTTATGTCTTCTTAAATCTCTTTCTTGAGTGAGGTCTAATGAATACTCAGCTACAATGACCTAGTTTTAATTATGGAAATACAGTCTATAGGCCACCTATTGAGTATTTTAAATGATTCATCTTATCATTCCCTTTTTTGTCTTAACTGAGTGATACTGCAAGTAAAACGTTAATGGTAATTTGGCCATTTCAAATTGCTGTCTTCTGTTTGCTCATATTGAATGAAATCTGGTAATTATAACTATTCTTAAGGCAAAAGCCAGCTTCTATGCCTGTGATTAAAATTTCATCTTCATTCATTATAATGAAGCTTAAAATAGTTTCCTTTTACAGTATTTCTTTTGCAGGGAGGGTATTTTCTATACATTTTGAATAAGTCTTACTAAGCAAGAGACCTCCAGCATGCATCTTTTGAACTGTAATTTTCTGTAATATAATTCTTCCCATGTGCTGGGGGGTGGAAAGGAATTCCCATATCCATTTGGTTGGAGTGGGTGTTTGCCAGCACCACCCCCAGAGCTGCCTCTGAGTGCAACTCCGCGGGTTTCCCCGTCTGCAGCAAAGATGATCTATGCCTGCTGGCTCATCTCTGTCATGCCAAACAGAAACCTTATCTCAAGGAAGCCAAAATAATTGAGAAGTCAGTTGTTTGTGTACTCAAAATAAAACTTCTACATTTTTTCCATCCCTTTGCATGTCATTTTCCTGGCAGCAGCACAACTCCCTAGGCAGCAGTGTGCCATTAGTGACTGAAGCATGTGATCCAACAGCAGGGTGCCATTTTCATGGGAATCCATGATTTTCTGAATGTTTTTGCTGGTTTTGCTGCTTTTGCTTCACAACCAGCACTGCATATAGGCTTTTCTTGCAGGTTTCTGGTCTTCTACTAAAGGGAACGTAGTAGTTCCCTTTAGTGAGCAACTACGTAAGAAACCTTGAGGACACTTCTGCTCTGCTCTTGGTGTGGGTTTTTGAACAGATGCCCTGCAAAAGAAAAAGGTTTAGTAAGATGTGTATTGAGAAGGGGATTGGACACCAAGAATACAGGAGAGGTGTTTGCAAATCTGTAGGAACAATAAAAACAGATGAACTTTGGTGGTGATGGCAAGTGACAGTAACCTTGATAACATTTCACAGATATGTTTGAGTTGCAGGAGAGACTTTTTAAATGGCTCCTTTATTGGGCTTCTGGAACCCAATAAAGGGTTCTGGAAGTCTGCAAAACTTTTCAGTAACTTTTCGCTCAGTGTACCAGATTTGGAAAGTAAGAATTGCCAAGTGAGACATAATGTAGAGAAGCCAGTTCTTGCTT